AAATAGCACAGGCCCGGTTTATGTTTAGGACAGGCCCAACTGTTCGGGTCCCATAGACTGGGCTTGTCCCAATCCCATTCCATAATTAGTGCAGTCCCGTACTAATTTTAGAACGCGACTGGTACCAGCCACAGTGCATGGGAGAGTGCAGCTTGGGACCAACCAATTGGCCGATGACTTGGTCTCTCCACTATATAAGGACGGGTGGGACCAGTGATTGGCAGGACGGAAACTACATGGAAACACTGGCAAAATTCTTTGGAGAGACGGAGTGGGCGTTGCTGTTCCAGATGCCTGCACGGAGGAGCAGGAAGGAGCGAGGCGTGACGAGAGCAAGTTCAGAAGACGTAGGAGGGGCATGTTGTCGCGGCTGCTCGCAGTGGTCAGGCCGCTGGCTTGGGCCCGCTGCCATCTCTATCCACCTCCTTTTTTTCCCTCAAGAACTTCCTTTTCGTTCTCCTCTCGTTCCTCTGCTCCCACCTGTCAAGGATGATCTCCTTTGCTGAGCTCCTGTTCATGTCCCCTCCACTATCCTACCCCCGTCCATGCCCAAGTCCAAGGCTTTTACCTTGTCTATCGGCAGATGGGTGTGTGCGGCTTGTCCTCGCTGATCTGGAAGTGTGCGCACGCACGTGCGGCTCATACTCGCTGATCTGGCCCGTCCTCGCTGATTGGGAAGTGCATGCAGGCTCACGCGGCCCACCCTTGCTGATCTGGCTCGTCCTCGCTGATCTGGCTTGCCCTTGGTGATCTGGAAGTGCACGCAGAAACGCACAGCCCATCCTCACTGATCTGGCTCGTCGTCGCTGATCTGGAAATGCGCGCCGGCTCGCACGACTCGTCCTCCTTGATCAGGAAGTGTGCACAGGCTCGCACGGCTCATCCTCGCTGATCTGGAATTTCGCGCGGGGTTGCACGGCTCGTCCTCACTGATCTGGAAGTGCGAGCACGCGTGCGCAGCTCATACTTGCTGATCTGATATGCAAGTGTGCGCATGCTCACACAGCTCATCCTCACTGATCTGGAGGTGATAGCAGGCGCGGACGGCTCATCCTCGCTGATCTGGCTCGTCCTCACTGATAAAAAACTGCAAGCATGCACACAAGGTTCCTCCTTGCTGATCTGGAAGCGCGCACAATGTCCTCTCTGATGGTCTGCGAGTGCACGTGAGTGTGCACGACCCATCTCTGCTGATTGGCAAGTGCTTGCAGAGGCGCACGCCCTGTTTTCACCGATTCGCAACTATGCGAAGATGCACGCAGCCAACCCCCACCGATCTGTGGGTGCACAGTCCCGAGCAGTTTGCCCTTGCCGTTCCGCAAGTGCGCTCTGGCTCGTGCAGTCTGTCCCCCTCTTGCTTGCGGCCGCGTGCAGGCTAGTGTGGTTTAATCCCTTGATCCTGTACGAAAGAGCAAACTCGCGTGGTTCGACTCTGTGATTCTGTAGGTATGTGCAGGTTAGATTGGCCCAACTCTGCCGATTTTGAAGTAGTGTTGCTGCACCGCACAATCTGAGCTGGATCTACAAGCGAGATACTGTTGCACCACGCGATCCAAACCTGGTCTGTAGGCAAGGCACTGCTGCAGCACACAACCTGAACCTGGTCCACGAGTGGGATACTCCATAAGCGCACGATTAGAGCCAGGTGTGTATGTAGAGTACTGCTGCCGCACATGACTGAACCTGACTCGAGTGATGGTTGTTGCGGTGCACAATCTCAACATGGTCACGCCTTTGGTATGACGTTCAATTCGAACCTGATTAGAGTTGAGTTGGGACTGCAGTCAGACGCTTGCTACTTCTTTATCGGTAACTGCAGTCTGGTCCTTGCTGTCCTGGTAACTGTAGTCTAGTCCCTGTGTCAACGGTAATCGTAGCTCAGTCCCAGCGCGGACGGGAAATGCAGTTTATTTCATGCACATCCTTTGATTTGCAGTACACAGCCCTTGCTAACCTGGCAATCTGTAGATCAGGCCCTGGTGATCCAGTAAATATGGTTCATCTCTTGCTGTTACGGTGATTACTGCTGGCCAGGCCCACTCAGGCGGGCCCTCATGCGTGTTGCTGCTAGCTGAGCCTATTCAGGCAACCCCGTTTACTTCGAGTTGCTGGTCCGCCGGCTCATTCAGCTGGGCCCTTATTTTCCTGAGTTGCTGCTCGCCGGGCCCATTCAGGCGGACCCCATTTATTTAGAGTTGCTGATCAGCCGGGCCCATTCAGGCGGGCCCTTACTTCCCCCCCAGTTGCTGCTGGCCAGGAACACTCAGGCAGACCCTTGTTTTCCTCCCAGTTGCTGCTGACTGGGCCCAGTCAGGCGGGCTCTTGCTTTTCCAAGAATTGCCGTTAGCCAGGCCCATTCAGGCGAGCCATCATTTATTTGTGTTGCTGCTAGTTGTGCCCATTCAGGTGGGCCCTTTTTTGCTGAGATTGTTGCTGCTGCCGGGCCCATCCACGCGGGCCACATCCACTCTGATCGATTGATGATTTGGCCAAGCACAATCAGACAGATTTAATTATCCTTGGATTGACGAGTATCGAGTCTATTTTGGAAGGCCCCCTGTACTACATCATTGCTGTTCGGTTGGGTTCACTCGGGCGAACCTTTACCTTGCGTTGTTGCCACCCAGTAGGGCCCACTAAGGTGGACCTCTATCCTGGATTGTTGCTAATCAGCCAGACTCACTTAAGTGTGGTCGGACCTCAGGAAGGCCTTCCCACACCTGGTTGCTGTTCAAGCAAGTCAAGCTGGCTTGTCAGCGCACTACCGCCCCAAAGTGAGGCAAGCTGATTGAGTTCAGATATGACTACACATGACACCAGACACTTATTGTCAGAGCCAATGAATGCCTCACCTCGAGGCACCCATTGGTAGTCACCTACTGGGTGAAAGGGGCTGAGAAGGGAGTGAAGGGTGCAACCTTTTCACAGGCAGAGATATTGGAGGGATAACTGGTTGCATGTGGTATTCCCTCACATCCCTTCAACACCTGGTGGAGCTCTCTTTGACTCCGAGGGCTGCAAACCAAACCCACTTAGCACGAGCAGTGGAATGACTAGGAGGCGACACCGGTGACTCAGGAGCGAAGTGGCTAAGTCAGGACTTCCTGTGACCACAAGCTTGCAGAGATCAAAGACAGACGAGTCAGACCTGAACCCTTGCAATGTGAGTGACGATGACTAGACACTCACAGGGACTGATCTGATTTATGTTTTGTGTTGGGTTCGCCTGTATTGAGGGTTGTGACACTGGATACCAGGAAGTGGCGGCGGCGGAGAGCAGTACGATGGATTGCATACCTTCTGGCACATTACCTACTTGAGGGAGATTGATTCCATTACTATATGTCCGGTGAGCCGAAGTCTGAGGAAGTTGCCCCTCCAAAGGTGAGGGGGCGGTCCCCTACCTAGAGGATGGGTACAATGATATAATCGGTGTGGATGTTGCTATGCAGGCCGCTTTGTGGAGATCGTTTCCTTGAGGTATCAAGATTTTGATTGGAGCTACAGACGATATCCCCTTGGCTGAAGAGTTGTATCTCAGGAGCGTGGCTGATGACGAGATTGTCCGTGCATGGCCGACATCCTGAAGATTGACCCAGCAGCATCACTGGTTATGGGCTATGTGGTCCAAGAGTCTATTGCAACACGGGTCCTTAATGAGGAGGACGAGCAACATGCACCAGAGGTGGAGTCCCAGACGGCTGAACTCATCCACGAGGGGGTACCACTTGTCATCATTGATTGCGGTCAATCTCTCCAGTCACTGAGATGTACTTGGATATTATTACTATGATTATGATTTTTCAGTGACTGCAGACCTCTGATGGCTGCTCCCTGTATTTCTTGTGTACTACTCTTTGGTCTTGTGTCTCTGGTCATGGTCTTGCAAAGACTGGCTTCTGGTCTCTTCGTCTTGCATGTGTCCTTTGTCGTATGAGGCATGATATGACTTGCTCCTCCTCTTCCTGCAACACGTGGGTCACACTCAAAGCCAACCAAGGACTCCTTGATAATTGGGACTCCGATGATTTTGAGTCTGGCCTTTACACCAAACCTAACGCCTCGCTCTAAAACCGTGTGGACGCTGGCAAGAGGGATGATACTATCTACTCGATTATAGTATTGACAGTGACAAAAGCTGATTTGGACACACATTTATCATACATTTGACTTACCAAAATCATGCGTGACAGCCTGCCAGTCCACCAACCCAATGCTCTTGGCGTGGGGAGGGACACTGAACCTAGCCTTAGAAGCGGTGATGGCGCAACTCCAATACAGGTTTAAAATGACAACTACCTTTCCATTTGCCACATAGTTGGCTCAAAAAAAAATCAAAACACCACCGTGAAGTTTCAGCAAAGCTTGGCACATAGTGGGGGTCCGCCTCGGCAAAAAGAGGTGTGGAAGTAGTGGTGGTTTAATCCGAAAAAGAAAAAGAGATAAAGGTGCAATATACAACATTGACAGAACCCACTCTTGTATCTATCCATCTCTTCAATCAGGATGCACACAAACTATTCTTCAGCTGAACATAATTTATGCTTAACGCCCCATAAACCATCATTTGACTTTATGGGTGCAGGACAGCCAGCCTGCATATACAGGTTTATGTTTGGCAAAGGCTCGTAAATAAACGGATGAAAGCTCACCAACAAGAAGCCTGGTACATTCATCATCTGAATTCACATGCTTTCTATGGCCCAGGCAATTTAGAAAGTGCATAAAATTCCGATCTACTTTTCTGTTGAGCAAACCCCCAGTGCAATTTGGCAGCACAGCACAACATTCACTAGCCCGCGGCTTTCACGCTTGCCAAGTTGACAGTGATTGCTCGATGGCCATTGATCACACTGCAGACTGACACGTAGCAGAAAAGCAAGCATAGGCTGAACTGGAGAGTAGATATTAATCATCATACATGGTATGACCTATTTCAAACTTGGAATTTTAGAGCTACCAGAGTCGAAAAAGTCAGAAAAACAGATGGTAGACTTTACCAGAGTGCCTCCCTGAAGAGCAATGGATGCAGAGTACAGTGGATACTGGGGGATAGGGACCATAACACCGTCCGTCTTTGCTCTGATCAACAGTTTCAGGATATTGTGGACCTGCAAGCAAGGACCAACAAACCATTCACAACTGCCGGTTTCAGGATATAGCAGACCTGCACGGATCATCCCATAGCTCTACCGCAGTTGCAAACTCCACTATCTACAACAAAGAAGAGGTGTAGATTGTAGATACAATAGTCATCATTGAGCAGCAAAACCTAGCAAACATGCGCAGTACTTGCAAAAACAAGGGGACCCAAACAATCAGATCCACACCAAGCATCAATCCGTGAAAAGCATTCCCATTCATAAGAAGGGAGATTAGACAAGGAGGGAAGAAGAAAGACAAGAGAAAAGGAGAAAGAAAGGAAAGAAGAAAGAAAGGAAAGAAGAAAGAAAAAACCGTACGCATGTATACAGATTCTCCCGAACACGACTCAGAATGAAAAAATAACATGAAGCTCAGGCGGCGTGGACCCGACGTTTCGGCTGTCCGCCATACAGCACTCCTCAGGGGTCTTTGGGTCGCGGAGGTACTGTTCAAAAACAGCTAAACACCCGCGTAGGCTAAGACCTAAAGCCTCCTTCAGAACATTCTAGTCCTAGGCAGGGAAAACCATACTCGAGACTAGGAAGGAGAAAGAACCCCCAGCTACACCAGTCTCCAAGCCGCATCAAACACCGGACCTCGGGACTAAGAAAGGAAAGAAGAAAGAAAAAAACGTACGCATGTATACAGATTCTTCCGAACACGGCTCAGAGTGAAAAAATAACATGGAGCTCAGGCGGCATGGACCCGACGTTTCAGCTGTCCACCATACAGCACTCCTCAGGGGTCTTTGGGTCGCGAAGGTACTGTTCAAAAGCAGCTACCTCTCTTAAATACCTGCGTAGGCGAAGACCTAGAGCCTCCTTCAGAACATTCAAGTCCTAGGCAGGGAAAACCATACTCGAGACTAGAAGGAGAAAGAACCCCCAGCTACACCAGTCTCCAAGCCGCATCGAACACCGGACCTCGGGACTAAGAATACCCTCCGGTCGTAAACTCTTCAAAAACACCTCAGAGATACACCAGTCTTCAAGCCGCGTCGAACACTGGACCTCAGGACTAAGATACCCTTCGGTCTTTACACCTCGAAAATGTCGAGGACCTCCGGACTACCGTCTTCCCCCGAACACAACGCACCCTCATTTTGGCTGTATGTGGCCTGAAATATAGCTTGGATACGTTCATTTTTAGGGTGCGTTATGTTCGGGAGAAGGTAGTACCATCGGGTCCGTTCATAACAACAATTCATCTTACCAAAAACTCGGGAGAAAACATTCAGAAAGTACAAGGGCTCTGTTATTTGGCCAAAATCGAGAGCATTTTGAACCCTTGATATCATTGACTGACCTCCACAACAAGCATTTAAAGACACCGGAACTCGGCCAGTTCCACACAGCTCTTCAAAACATCATTAATTCGAAAACCCGGCCAGAACCCCACTGTGTCAGTCCTTCACAGTTCTCCAAAAAACAACAGTTCGAAACCCGGCCAGAACTGCCAAAGACCTTGAAGGGATTCCAGACTAGAACGCTCGGTCAGTCCTTCACAGCTTTCCAAGAGATCATCAGTTCAATCCCTGCAAAAAACCAGCGAGGCAGGGGGAAAGACCATTGCACACCAGTTGAAAACTGCCAAAGACCATAAATTGATTACGAACCAGACAAATCAAAAGGGTCCCCTACTCGAAATCTGACATACCCTACAGAACAAGACTCCACTGTGTAAGAAATGGAAGCCAAATGGTCCCAACACCCAGCAAACTTTGTCGAAAAGAGTACAAGAGAATTGTCCACAAAATGATCAGGATAACCACGTTTCCACAACTCAACCTTTAGAGTAAATAAGAAGGCAAGCTCCATGCCCGGCCCAGTAGTGAAGGACAGCGCACGGTGAAGGAAAGAGATAATAAGCGCCATTTTCTGTTGACGGCTGGAGAAGGAAGAATAATCTTGAATACTCTGAAAGGTTACGGTCGTTAATCTCTGCCCTCTGATTCTTGTGAACCGCTACGCAAATCAATTTGCAAGGATTCTTCAAAATCTTCAGTATACAACCCACAAAATCCCAACAGTCACCATCACTTGTCCTTTCAAGAACCAGGTTGGCACCGTAACACTGCTGGAACTGCAGAAAGATCTCAGTGGCCTTCAGCTTCGACTTTTCACAGCCATTTACGAACTTAATGAAAAAGGAAACGTCATCAACAATGCGAAATCCGCAAACTAACTTCCGATCCACACCAAGCGACGAAAGGAAGGTAGACTCGTTAAAGGCACACAGTGGACAGGCAAGTGCCGGACTGGTTGACTTCCCTATCGGGATACCAACCACCTGCAGTAACAGAACTCCAGAGGCAGAGATGAAGGTATTATCAAGTACGAAAAAATAATAGAAAACTTCAGTAGGATCCATCCCTCCTCACCTCCTCACCTCTTTCTCTGGTCAATCTTACAGCCTTCCCTTGTTTCCGGACCATCACACCCACAAATCCTTTACTATCCCAAAAATCAATAACCCATCGTAACGCATGAAGAATAGTGTGCAAGGAACATGAGTATGGACGAAGCACAGAAATCCAGAATGCAAAATCACACTGAAGTCCAAGTATTCAAAGCCAAAGCAGATAGCACATGGAACCGAGTAACCATCCCATTGAGAATGATACAGAAGAATCGTGAGTCAATGTCCATGCCCACCAGGGCAACACCAACAGCATAACCCAAATGTAGCTCTCTCTTGTGAATGGCGCCAGGCACCCTATCTACTCTACAGCCTATCCTACAACTACAGCAATGAACAGCAACCAGACAACTTGACTACCAGCGAGTGATGATGTCAACACCATTGCCGACCTCCACCATCACCAGGTACGTGTCATCTTCCCCACACTCTCCCTTGTTACCCACACAGCGCCCTTCACCTCCGAAGTACCACCTTCGCCCTTACCTCCCCTGCACCCTCTTGTGGCCCGGCTATGGCCGCCAGTGCCCTGCAAGCAGGCAGCGCCCTACCGCCTAGCGCTGCCCTGCTTCTTCTTAGCGCAGCGCTGCTCTGTATTAGCGCAGCACCCTGCATCTGCGCAGCATGCCCGCATAAGCCAGCATTGGTCAAGATCCCCCTCTGCCTCGACCTGCTTGCCTATATGCCAGTGCAGTGTGTGGGCGGCCTCCCTTCAGCCTGTGACCGGGGCCCAGAGGCTGAAACCAACTCGATACAGTTGGGCCCCGGGGTAAGGCAGTTGCGCCTCCTTCATCAAGGCCTGCGGCCAGATTCAGACAGTGGGCCGATTTCCCCTTTGGCATTTTCGGCCTTTCTTCCCAGCATGCATTGTCGGCCTCACGTTCAGATGCCCAGGGCCTAACCAACTCAGAGGCCCTGGGCTTTTCAGCATTTGCTGAAACCCGAGACTTGGTGCACTCCAACCAACTGGCGTGCTGCAACTGTATAGACCCCCACTTCGTGAAATGTTGACATAGAGGCTCTTGTTGATTTGCAGGCCCGCCTTCACTTAGGGCGGGCACTAGGCTTGCTGGGGGCCTTAGCCCAGAACATGTACATCATGGCAAGGCCCTGACTTGAGGGCTTAATCCTCACAAGTGTTATGAACTTGGTTGTCTGACGATTTTTACCGCCACTCACACACAGACAATCTCATACATGCCCATACATGCATAAGAGAAGGGGGAGAGGAGACAGAGTCCACACTGCACACAGATCAGAGTAGGCAGCAGAATACAGCTATGCACAGATGGGGAGAAGACGCACAATGTTTCTCTCTCTCTGACAACTCCCAACAACACAATCACAATTAGAACCTGCGAGGATAACAATTGAAATCACACTGATGATGAACCAACTCAAACAATTATCGTAACAGAGTTTGTTCCAGTATCTCGCCACTCTCCGAACTCACACCCCACTCTCTATCCTACAGCCAGTTAGTAGCGCCACATCAGAATGGCCTCCCAGAGGCCAGCGCCAACCACCCTGATGAAGAACAGGTCCTGCAATGAAGTCTTCAGTGCCGCTGGACAACTCTGACGAAGGAACAGGCAGCTATGGCTGCCACCACCCACGAACACACACTGTAGAGCCTCGATGTAACCCGGCCATACGCAGATACCCCCAGGGGTAGGTGCGCTGAGGATGCCCCAGCTATGGCAGACTCAGGCTGGGCCGGCTATGGCTGCTGCCAATGGCGGAGTCTCAGGATGCCGCCTGCAGACAAACACCGCCACCAACTTGCTTGGCTTCTCCAACGCTGCTTCGCGAGAAATGAACTGCCAAAAGTCCTGAACCGATGGGCCTAACCTATCTATAGACTACCCTAGACCTAGACCGGACTGACTGACGGACCGGTATCGTTACTGTTTCGGCCTCTCGGCCTCTACCGGACCCGGCTATAGGCTATAGGACCGTCTATCAGCATAGGCCGCTTAGGGCCTGTCTGTCCTAGGGGTAGCCCGGGCCTGCTATATGCAGTTAGGGTAGCTGTAGCAATTCAGGTTAGTACTGAGCCTATATTTTCCCAGATTTGCAGATATGTCCCTCACGAATTTCCCTACAGGCAGGTCTCTCGGTTAGCCCTCAGCCAAACAAAATTACGAATCTAACCCTACCGGTTAGCGTACAGCCTCGCAGTCAATCTCGGCAGTCAAAATCAGCAAGTCATTGCAATAGACTCAAGCGGTAAGTTGGAGAACATTTCTTTCACCTCAAAAGAGCCCCCGATGACATCATCATTCTTACCCAACGACCTATTCATCATCCGAATGCCAGGGACAAGATCTAACGTACAACGCAAATTGAAGTGTGAAGATGATGGCAATTTCCATAAGAACATGCAAGGAATATGAGTGTGAGCGATATACATAAAACCAAGTTGCGAAATCACACAGCTGAACCAGTAGTCGTGTACCAAGCAGAGAGTACAAATGCACCGAGAAAACCATCCATATAGAGCAATACAATGAAGTAATGAGCCCATGTCCAAGCCCGTAGGCCACAC